TGGTTCACTGTCAAAGAGCAACGGCCAGCCTTTTCCATCACCAAGGCCTCTTTATGACGGAGTCTGTCTTTGCCACTGTTGTTGATGTTACTCAAATGTATAGGTTTGGGTTATCTCTTTCACATTGCACATTAAATGTAAAGCGACGAGTACCAAAAGATGATCTTGGTCGGAAAATAGCTGAACTGTTGAGGTAAGAATGTTAAAAAAAAAATCAAATTGCCTCAAAGGAACAACTTATATATTTTTTAAATGCCCTATACTGCTAGTTATAAATAATCCTAAAAATAGTTATGCTAAAGTAAGAAAAGTCCCTAACGTAGTAGTTGCAAAGTTTAAAAACATATTTTTTAGCAGAAAATTAGAGAAAACTCAGAATATAGATATAAATATCATAAATGGCCAGAAGTTAAATTCAAATGAAGCCAGTAAAAGTTCAAACTTAGAAAAAAAAATACAGTTTTTTGGATAACTCTGGTTTTTTGGCTTTTATTTACCTTTGTAAAACAACAAAAGAAGAAAAGATCTTAAAATGTCCACAAATCATACTTTATAACTTTTTTTTATAATTCTTGTCGTCTTGGTAAAATATATCATCTTATTTAATTGAATTTAAATATAAATATATAGTTGCTCATACTGTGTGTTTAGTGATGAACAGACAATTGTTTTTGTGTTTCACCTCCAACACCCAGTACACCATGACACCAAGACAGGGCTGCACGTTCGCATCAACATTGTGACAGACATTTCGCATTATCCTTTCCACTCCTTCAGTCACTATGGTAATGATAGTCAACCAACTCAAGGAGCGACCTGTGTCTCTGCACGTTAACCCTTCACACTTGACTGAGATTTTGGAAACCGACGTAGCTTCATAGCACCTGGAGCAAAATTTTCAGTTGCTCAATCTGTCAAGAGCGCACGTGCATACACCCACACAAACTCGCGTGCACACACACACACACACACACACAAAACACTGCTAAACCGAGAGAAGGGCTGCGTTTGTTTTTCTTCTCCAAATTAAGCAGAAAATGATGATGACGTGTGATCCTCTGCTGAGAGTCTCTTGGGCAATGATGGATGGAGCCATCGGCCATGTTGTCAATTGAATGACTGTATCTCAACTTGGATTTGACTCGTACCGCACTTGATTGATTTCCTGTACAACATTCTCTCTCGCTTACACCGACATCCATCTGCCTGTCAGGCACCTCGTGACCGGGATATGAGTGACCTGGCTCATTTCAAACCCCGTACAGTAAAGCTCTGCACAAAAACTCATTCACATCGGCCGCTGAACACCATCAAACAGGCTCTGTGTTTCAAATGGCATTGAGGCAAACACACCCAGTTCTGTTCTGAAATGAAAAGTGGCCTGTGACTAGAAATCCAAGGTGGTGCAACACTGCTCCAAAGGTTTGGAAAAATCAAAGGTGAGAGGTTTTTATCGATGTGGCGGAAGAGTAAACCAGGAATATGACGATTTCAACACCTCTTTGATAAAGTTTGTGAAATATTTAATATGTTTTGTGAGGCACAGATGAAAGAGAGTATTATGTTGATTTTGGGGCTGGCGGTCAAGAGGGGAGGGAGGTGAAGAGAGGGTCCTGAAAATGAAGTGAGGGGAGAAAGTTGAGGCCTCCTGCTGCATTTAGTAGGTGTGAAGGGCCGACCAGGTCTCTGTGTTCAGCATCTGTCCTCGGAGCAACAAGGGAGGCTGTGTGGGGACCGGCTTACCTCTCCGTACAAAGGATGCTCTGTGTTTTCATGCACAAATACACACACCGTAACACACACACCGAGAGACATGACCCCTGGAGCTTTTCTCTTTGTCATGAGGCACACGTTTGGGAGCCCCAGATTACAGATACTTGTTTGCTGACAGCCTGCTGGTTTTATGAGCTGCAGAGCACAGGAGTGAAGAGCTTTAACCCTCATCTCTATCCCTCAGGCTGATAAAGTGCTCTGATAAGCTATAAGGTGCTGGTGAAAAGTGGCCCTCAGCCCCCAGGGCTACAATATGAAAGAATGGCTTGTCTGGGGCAAAGCAAAACTATACAGAAAAGAAGGTATTGTAGATTATAAAAAAATTCTGAAGAAGTCCAGAAGAAAGGACTGGGTTAAATGATGGAGTGACCTGGGTGCAGCGTGTGTGTCTGTATATGCATTCGTGCAGGTATGCGTGCATATGTTTGCGAGAGCTTAGCAGCTGTGGGCGTTGATGGAGGGGGAAGTGAGGGCAGAAATGGGGGGAGCCCTGCCATGTGTTTATGTTGACTAATGAGCTAATTACCCAACCCCTAATCTACCTCAACTTGTGTCATTTCACAGGAATGCTGCAGCAGTCAAACGCTTGCAGATTATGGGTCATTTCCTGACAGTTAAAGGCAGGCAAACTACTACAGCAGTAATTCCTCTGCACACCAGGCGCTAACCACAAATGCTGCAGCCTCTCCATTTGCCTTTATTGTCTTCAAACGTGAATACAGGTTTACACATAAAATTCAACTAGGTGACTTCAGCAGCTGTTATTTGTCAGGTGATTTGACTGATGGTGTTACATTAGCTTTGTGTTGTTTTTCTACATATTTTTGTATTAATTCCTCATCACTGATCACTGATACTTCCCTTACTCTGCTGTAAGCATGCTTTTACCCCAGCAATACTATTTTAATTTTTGCTATTCCAGTAAAAACAATGTAGTTCCAACTAAGATCATTTAATTTGTCTTGTTAAACTTGTGGACTTTGTGGGTTTTGTGATGTGATACTTTTCTTCAACTTCCTAAACCAAATAAACCATTTATTAATAAAACGGATACAGTTTCTAGAAAATAAAAAAAAAGTTTTCAAAGTTTAAAAAAATGACTTTGTCATTGTTCAGTCCTAAATACCATTAAGGCTACAACTCAATACTCACCCCTTTTCAGGACCATGCGGGTTAACGAGTTTGGGAATAGCTTTCAAAAGGGTGAGTCGGGCGTTGACTAGTCCACTCATCACTACCTCTCATGAACTATTGCTGCCTTTCATCTGCCACATATTTTTTCGGAAAAAAAGCATGACTAAAACAGCCATTAACGGACAATTGTCAGAAGAAATCTTTCTGTTACTTCATCTCACAAATTTCCAAAAACGACTTTTTCTCACTGTAACAAAGAGGCTGAAAAAAATGGAAACCTGAAGAAAAACAGGTCATAGTTACAAGAATGAAGTCAATCAAACGCCGAGTCAGACCGCATGGGAGGTCTTCATCCAATCCAGCCTTAGTGAGAGGTGTGAGGGGAGATTTAGTGAACTCCCCCCACATGTTCATCATCCCTCTCCCCTGGGGTGTATGCGCCTTCATTCCCCCTGCAACTACCTCCCATCCATCACGCCTAAGATTTCACTTCAATAGGTGGTCCTCTCTCTCTCACACACACACACACTCTCTCTCCCCCAATGAGAAAATAGAGCTATAGAGGTAAAAAAAAAATTAGAATTGTATGATTTCCTTGCTGATAAACAACAGAGTCAGCAGTTCTGTGATTAATCTGCGTTCATGTAAAGTGCACTGAAAATCTGGGATTATATGGATTTATTTACAGATTCCAAACCATCAGAAATCCCCCAAATGTGGGTAAAGGGCAAATGGTAACCCCATGTGGCCCGCCGACTTTTTAGTCACATTCAAACTCATGCCCACTTTAATCCTTGTTAGCCACAGGGAGTTCATGAGCTTTAGCTTTGATGCTACAACGAGGAAGTCAAAAGTGTTTTTATTATTATTATTACTTGGGAAGAATCTGAATATAATACAGCTCACTGTCTTAGTCACCTGAGAGACAAGCCATAAGATGACATTAAAACTGGACATCTTCCATTATGATGACATCTGTCCTTTTTCTATCTTTTTGTCCTCATATTTGTCTAATAACATTTGAAACTTAGAAAAATATGAATGACATCAAAAATATATATATAATTTATTTCCCAGTATCCTTTTCATTTAAGCCATTTAGACCAAAATCATTTGGGTTTAGACCCCTCAACCTCCAGGTAGATCCACTAATCCACTAATGTGTGTGTCATGTTTATTTTTATGTTTATTCCCGAACCCTTGATTTATTTAAATATGCTAAACATGTCACCTCAAATCAAATACCCAAAGCCAGTGGTCAGTGTTTTCAAGAGTCTCTGGTGGGGTTCTGTTTCCGGGGTAAACAGTTTGAATGTATAAAGTATATTTATTTTCACAGTCTACCTGCAGGAATGAAAACAATAAAGGTTTTCTTTTCACAGCAACGTTGTGTCCCACACTTTGCTCCTAATCTGCGGTTCAAAGCGCTCTGCACGTCTCTCCAGCATGCTGGAGGAGCCCCGGCCGAGTCCTGCGGTAGCCCCCTCCATTCAAACAGAAGGCAGTTTGGTTGATATTGAAATGGTCTCTGTTTGTTTTTCTTCTGGTCCCGGGTGTGCATGTGAGACCAGCATAAAGGATTGTGTCCTTTTGAAGGGGATAGCACCAGGAAAGCGCAGGGGAAGGAAACTTTGCTTTGGTGTTTTATATATCAACGGAATGACTTCCCTCAAATAAAGATGTGTTCCATTCTGCTAGTCGGTCTGGAACAAGCTGCTTGCTTCCTGTCCTGAAAACTCGTAGTGTGTTCGAACAATGCACCCAGCTAGAATGGTGAAGATGTCACGTCTGGAAGGTGTGGTGTGATGCCTTTGTTTGGCCACAGGTTGAGTCTGGAGTCACATGTTTACAGTATATGTGACATTTGAATGAACCCGGACAATTGTACTATTTGACAATTTGTATAAATGCTTAAACAATGGAGGGCTTTTCAATTATTATTTCAAACATACGCTGCAGATGAAAGTACATCCGGAGCAGCAGAAAAACTCATAAAAATTGGCTGCTGATGATGATGAGGAGTACTCGAATAACCTAGTGATTAATTATTTAATATAATCTTTTGCAGCAGTATGCTGTTTCTACCTTCCCTATAGGGGATGCTAAAACTAAATTTGAAATGCCATATTAATTGAATTAAGTGCAGTTGGATTTTTACTATTTTAAAATAATGATTAAAATAAATGTTGAAGTCTAGTTAATGTTCCTGCCTTACAGCAAAATGATTGCCAGTTGTAATTGATATGTATGGAGTGTGAATGTACTCCCTATGTTGATTCATCCAGCGAGGCAGCAGCCAATCAGCAGTAAGGCTGAGGTCTGTCTGCCTCCCTTCTTTCCTCTCCGTTTCTCTGTGTTAATCAGTGTCAACACACTCACCTGTGTCCAGGGATCTTTGGTCATTAGTCTCACTTGTGTCACCTACTGACCCGGAAATAAACTCAGTCCTTGTTGGGTCATTGTCCAGTGTGGTTCATTGTCATGGTATGTAGTCACTGTGTTGTTTGTGAACATGCTCATGCGAGTTCCTGTCGATCATGTGTTGCTTGTTCCTGCATGGTCCCTGTATTTTGATCTTCTTCTCTCAGGTGCTGCATTAGCGTCCTCCCTGCTTTACCCTTACGTTTCTAATCGTAACATGAAGCTTATGGATATGGACATGGTGTCCAAACTGGGTGATGTGTGTTAAATGGACCATTGTCTCTTGTACTCTGTGATTAAATCATAAATCAAATCCAACAAGCACATGTAACATGTAATGCAATGGAATTATCTCTTAAATGTTTTTTCACAAATGTAATTATTATTATAATATATATAATTATAATTATAAAAAAAATATAACTGACAATTTTAACTCTGTGTCTTGAAGCTTATACTTCCTGCTTCCTTGTCACTAAGTTTTTCCTCTTTGTGTTTGAATGGCAGCTGTAATCATTTAGGTTGCATTACTGCCTCCTACTGGGACGGTTTCCTACCAGTAAACACTTACTCTCAGAAGGATCCTGAGCACTTAAAAGCACTTGAAAGGTGAGTAAAAAATGTTGTGACCAAACTTAAAGGTTTTTACACTGGCAGATGACTGTGTTTTTTATATTTTCAAATTAAGAATAGTCATGTTTACATTTCATTTCTTGGTTATAGTTTCTAAAACAAGCTTCCTCCCTCTCTTTAATCCTTCCACCTCTGACTTTCTCTCTTTTCCCTCTCCCTCTCTCTCTCTCCCTCTCTGTCTCTGCTGGAGGCTCACCATGCAGAGTTTCTCACTCACACTGCCCCCTCATCAAATTACAGTCCTGCTCCCTCCTGTCATGTTGGCAAACAACGGTTTTAAAGCACACTCCCAGAGTAATTGCCTCTAATCTCAGACATAATGTGGTCTTTCATGTCAACTGGCCAGAGAGAAAAGCGAGCTGTTGTTCTCTCTGCCTCCTGTGTTCTCCCACTTTCTCTCCGCAGAGCTGTAATATGTTTTCCGTTTAGGGGGCGGGGGTTGTTTTATTGTGACACAGTGTAAAGTTTTTTAACAAGGTAAAAATTTGCTCTAAACGACCTCAAACGTTATGAACAGATGCTTGGTGCCGGGGACTACAATAAACCTGAAAAGCACTAAAGCCCAGAGAAATGTCTGGCAGCGCTGCAGTTCTTGGTGAGCTCCTCCACCTTTGGCCTGAATTCTCTCCGTGGTGAGCATCAGGCAGTCTGCAGCTGGAAGTGTTTCTGCGGTTTGGCCAGGTGTCTCTCTGCCCTGCCTGGGACAAGGCCTCAGCAGGACCTGGGACTGGATTATAGAGCAGGCTCGAGGCGCTGAGTGAGCTAGCTGCCCCTCTGTGATCTGAAATGTCCCGCAGACCTACATGACTGCTGGTCAGCTGTAACTGATACAACACAATATAGCAGTGCTGGAGGGGAGAGGTGAAAATAAAGATGTGTGTGAGCATGGGAGAGACAGCGGACCAGAGCTGAGAAGGAAAAAGAAGAAGGGAAGAAAGGGAGACAGGGAATAGTGGAAATTTTGGAAAAAGTCTCCAGCTAAAGAGGCCCTTTGGTTGAAAATATGGAACGCAGGGTTTAATATGGTTTCCAGGGTCTTTGGCAAGGATGGACTTATCAAGTGAAAAAAAAAACACAGCTTTTGATATCTGCACATTCTCCGAGATCAAATACAGGGCAAGAAGACAGAGAAGATTCAATGTTTCTTCACCCGGATTTTTTTTTTTTAATTTTTATTTTTTTAAGGGACCCAGCTGTGAGTCCTGGAGGTCTAGAACTGCGGCAAAGTCAGCAGTATGGTGTAAGACTGTAGCTTCAGAGTCTGGTTAGCCATGACCTGATGTTCCAGGAGGCTCTGCGAAATGATGAGTCCCAGAAGAGTCATCACCAGGCCTCCAAACAATCACCCATTCATCCCTCCAGCCGCAGCAAGTGGGCAAACACACTGCAGTCATAGTGGCGTTGACAAAAAAAAAAAAAAAATCAAAACTGTGACCCAGTGATAAAATCGAGACAATTCATTTTAAACTAAAAAAAAAAAAGTGTCCATATTGCAGGCGTGCAGAGGGGCTGCTGGGTAGTATTAATTCGCCCCCACCTACTTTTCCAGTAAGCATCAATTGTGAAATTTTCAGAAGAATAGCAAATAAGTGTATATTCCCCTGTGAATATGGCCAATATATTTTTGGATTATGCGGCTGAGCTGGCTAAAGCCCTCACGCCTCATCTGCCAAGACTACACACTGCTGTTACATAAGACAGCAGAGCCAGGCCAGACATCCAGACTAGTCCTTATGTGGACAGAAAAGGGTGTGTTCACGACGTCCCCTCGCCCGAGTCCATCTACCGTTACTGTATCAACCAACTTCTCTCCTGCGTCTTTAACATCCCTCCAGCCCTCAAAGATGAGAAGCCTGGGGGTCAGCCGCACATCAGTCACATTTTTCTCCCAGTTACCAAGCAGTTATTTATAGAGCAAGAACAAATATACAATGGAAGCAGGGGTAGTGGTTGGAGCAGGAGGCAGGTTAACCCCGGGAACATCTGTCCTTTCAAAGCCATCTCCTCGCTTGGAATGCCCAGAATCCACTCCAGGGGTGTCAGCACTTCAGATGCAGTCACAGAGATGGCATGCAAGTCAAAACAGAGCTGGAGGAGCAAGAGAGAAAATAATTTTTATGCAAGTTCATTCTCCCATATCACCAAGTTCAGTACGACGTGTTCTCCACGTCACCTGACAATAATGGGTTGGTTTCTGTTGGAAAAAACAAGAAGAGACAGAGTGAAAGGAACACTTCAGGAGTCTGAGAGGACCGGAGTCACACTTGAATTTAGTTTCCACGCGGATACCAACTATATCACAATAAAATCTGAAAAGATTCCTGAGGTTAATAAGATGTAGATAATCCCTGTCATGTCAAATATTTTATACTATTAAAATGGAATATATGGCCTAAAGCAACAGTGAAACACTGTAATGATTATTCAGTACTGACTAATTCTGGCACTTTAATACCTGATCATATTTGTGGTTTTTGTTATTACACTTTGTCAACCTCACGCTGATCTTCTGTAACTGGTTTTACTGAACAGGCGTGACGTGCTCTGGGTTCTAAAGAAACGTTCTAAAGGCGTCTTTTCGTCCACTCTTGTTTCATTACACGTCTGTGTTAAGGACAGTTTTCTTCAGTGTAAACTGTTGTGTAACTACTTTGTCAAAACTTGTTTTAATCCAATAAGAGAGTGTTTAGCTGAATGCAGCCAATATACACACAATGTTTGGAGAATGGGTACAAATATAATTTAGTGGAATATTCATTCATATTAATTACAGTTCTCATGTGTGTGAGTATGTGTGTGTGTATGTGAAGGGGGGGGGGGGGTGCCAACACAGTCTTTGTTTAGTCTGTCTGTGTCAGAGATGCTTCATTACACAGCCTCGTAAATCCAGCCTGCCCGCTGACACTCCCGCTCCGACCTCTCACTCTTTTCTATAACTCTCTGTGACGTGCCGGGAAACGCACAAACACACAATTTCACGGAGGGACACAAAGGCAACAGTTGTCAACATCTTTATTTACTTCTGTTCATTTACAACAAAGCAGTAAAACACATTTGGACACCGCCGTCCAAATAATATTGCCATCAGTGATTTTTTCTGTCTTCCTGTTGCAGACGTACTAAATATACAAATTAGACGTGTGTCAAATCAACAACAGTCACTGGGTGAAATCTGCTCTTTGATCTGAATTATTTTTATTTGAACGTTTGTTTCGTTGCCTAGTGTTTGATTTATTGGTTTAATATGGTTGGACTTTTTTTTGTTATGTCTATTTATTTTACATGTGTGGACCAATTAAATAATTGGGTTTGTTAGATTATTAAATATAATACACTCAATGCTTTCCAGTTGTTATGACAATATGTAAATAATATTCCCTAAAACCTCCCTGTAACAGTAGTTTTTGAGGAGTTGTCTCTTCATGTACGGACAGATTAGAACCTTTTGGCCAGACTTTTTTTTTTAAATATTAGTACTACACAAACTGATTAACTTATTAATTTAATAGTACATGGGTTCAAATGGTCACTTCATAGAAAGTCAGCTGTTCATTGTCACTCTTTGATTTCAGCAGTGGAAGGATCCGAATGGCAAGAATCATAGCTGTACAAAAATAATTAATTCAGGGTTGTTTTTTTTTTTCTTTTTTTTTTTTCTGTCGCTGTGAGCCTGGGGTGTTTTACTTCCTCAGCCATGCGTTGCACTAAAGTAAGGAAACTTTGAGGATGAACAGCAGACTAAATAAACGGAATGAAAGCAGCAGAATAATCCTAACCCTTGAACTGGCTGAGAGATGTATTATTCCTGGAAGCCTTTGTAAAAGCTGTAGTTTTGTACATTTATTTGTTCAAAGCGTTAAGGTGACAATCCGTACTGGACATGCATAAATATTTCTACATATACATTTCTGGTTCTCCAAGTGCTAATAAATACTCCAAAAATGTTGGGTTTAATTTTGTTTAACTTTTCAAATATTTACATTTCTTTGACTTTGACTTGTTGCCACAGGAAGCGATGTTTAATGTGGTTAATTAAAATTGAAATATATCAAGATGTAGTAATAAAAAATTCAGGCAAAAGCGTTAAAAAGCAACAATTTTCAAAATCTTAAACATTTGATTTTTAACTTTTACTTTGTGTTACACTGTCTGTGTTACAGTGTCATGGCTTTCGAATTATTTATATTGTAACATAATTAAATCCACTGATAATTAATCTTCTAATTTTTTTCTATGTTATGTAAAATTATATTATATAAAATGATGTTATAAAAAATATTTTTTGTTTACCAGTCATGCAAATAGTATATTATTTTAGTGATTAAGTATAAAAATAGGAACTAAATGTTTTCCATTTTATAGTTTTTAGTATAAATTATCCTGTTAATTTCAATAGGGTTTTATTTTGTTATATAATACATGTGTCTTTTGCTTTTGATTGAGTTACAGTTAATTTATCAGGGAAAATTGTAGTAATTCTTGAAATTTAAAGATTTTAAAAGAAGGTAAAAAAACAGCACAGTATTATTTAAAATAAACTTGATCCTAATATTTTTGCATGCCAGTGTTCAATCAGTTTGATGATACATTAATTATCAACAATAAAGCGTTAACTGATGTTAACTGATGTTATGATGTGATTTTATACTTGATCATAACAGAGGAAAGTAAACATTTAATTTATTTTAATTTAAAAAACAAATGAAAGAACCAACTAACATTTTACCTGGCAACTATGTCAAGTATGATGTGTAATTTGGTAAGTGTTTGCACTCGATCATGAATCAGGGTATCATGAAAAGAGAGAGTTGTCAGAGGGCCGTGCAGGAAAGGAAAACCCCCTATAATTACATTTTAAGAGCAGAGGAAGCTCCAGGCCCGAACCCCGTCATTTAGTCGGCATTAAATAAACGCATGAGCCATCAGTGTCAGATATGCCCTCACACAGTCGCACTGTAAATAATGACTTTCACGGACATGAACACAAAAATCTCAGGTCATGATCAGGGTAGGAGAAGAGCAGTCATGCCATTGATTGATGTATTAAATGTTGGTTAATCATTAAATCAGCCCCTAAAAAACCCTCTGCATCATGAGTTTGCTTTATCTTCCATCTATACACCCCCCCCCCCCCCCCCCCCCTTTAAAAATAACTGTGATAATACAGGATTATTGATTGGCTTACCAATTGTACAGCGTGGGAAAAGGTCAGGAATCAACATGTAGTTACTCGTCCTGCAGGGGCAAAACAAAACACAACAGCAGTGGGAAGTGAAGACGACGGCTCAACAGCTTTTTTGTTTTTTCATTTTTAACAAATTCATTCACATTAAAAATAAAGAAAAGGGATTTTGGGTAGTCGTGGAAACTGCTGATTTATTAATTGGAAGCAGTAAAGTGTTAATCACAGAGGGGTTTGCATAAAATCCAGACAAGTGAAATGTGATATCTAGCACGTGATGGAATTTGTATTCTTCAATTTTCCCCTGGCTCTCTTGTGTTGTGATGCCAAAACCTTCAGTTTTTACGGACTGTCTAAACATTTGTTTTTTACTAAGTAAGATTTAAAAATTTTTTTTTTTTTTAATTTGTTATCAAAATGACATTGTCAAAAAATCTCTGTTTTTTATGTCAACATATATACGGTACGTTTGTCTTTTTACTTCACAGTCATTTATCCCTATTTGCTCCTTTTTATTGATTGGTTGGAACTGAATTATTACACTCTAGGAAAATTGTATTTTAAAAATTAAAAGATTTCCCATCACATCTGGCTCTGTGATGAGGATATTAAAATTTTATTACTTTAATTTTCAAATAAAAATTCGATTTATAGCTTAGTTACAGAGATGTAAAATAATGTCTGACCTTCTATAATTGAAACATTGTTTTTCTTCCTTTAAGTCACATTGACGTTGTGTTCAAGTGTCAGACGTACAAATCCTCTGACACACAATAAATCTTATAAACCGTTAAGATTTGAACCTGAAAAAGTCAAAGGTCGTGTCCTTCAAAATACTCTCTTACCTTTTTTTTTGCTTGATCATAAATCATGTCCTTGATTGAAGGGCCACTGAACAGAAGGCCTGCCAAAGCAAATTTCAGCAAAATTAAAAAAAAAGTACCTTAGTTGTATGGAGTGGAGTGTTTGAGATGCTTTGACTAGAACTGACATTACCAACAGAATTCAATTTGTTTTGTCACTTTGTCAATTTTCCACCAGCTAACGTGCCTCCGGAGGGCTCACGCTTAGGGTCTCAGCTGTGCAACCTACCAAATATTTAGAGTAATAGCTGGTTACTGTGCTATCGCTAACACTATGGGCTGTCAATCACCACCGTGGAGCTAATTAAAAAAGGCCCTGGCACTTTATTTGTTTGCACACACTCTCAGGGCAGACTGGAACAGGGAGGCATGGGGGCATGACATACACGCCATGCCCCTTTAAATCACTCCCCTGTGCCAGAACGCTGACACCACACCACAGAGTCCTGACCAAACATGTGCTGCGTCCCCGTTGTGGGCGAGACACAATTAAACAATGATTTACAGGCAGAGTCTATGAAACTGAACTCATAGAACTGGAAGTAGAGTCAGATTTTTATATGAATTTATCAGCATATTTCTGCACTTTGCACTTAAAAAACCTGAATTCTGACACTTTTTGTATTATTATTTTGACCTTTAATCTAGTTCTGCTGCTAGTTTTGTATTTTTTGTCATCATACTGTATGTTGCTGCCATGGGAATGAAAATAGAACGTAAGCTCTGGCTGTAGTTGTATTTACGTCACTATGTTCATCCATGTCTATTGTCCTCTTTATACGTAAATAAGCAATACTTAATTCAAATTTAAATGAACCTTTGATTAAATTAATGCATTTTTCCTTTGAGGCTTTATTTGGTTCAATCATGTAAAGCTCTTACCTGATGATGTCAGGCCTGTATCTGTTCACCTCCAAACCTTCTGTCCTTCACTGTCTCCTCCCTTCACTGCGTCCATGTGTCCCTTCTGCTCCAGTCTGAAATCTGTACGCACTGCACCGAGAAGTGACACAAAGATGGAGTTGGCATGGATTAAAAGACACTTACATTTTATTGTGTTGCCCTGGACCCCGAAGCCGTTAGCTGCTGCTGCAGCTTCTTGTGCTGCTGGCTCATGGCTCTCTGCTGCCTCCTGTCTGTCTGAGGAGGAGGGTGTCAGGAGCGGCCAAACCTGAAGAAGACGCTGAGTAATGTTAGGGATCATGTTGTAACAGCTGCATTTTAATCCACATTTGTTGGTATACCGTAGGTCTGCAGGCACTGAAAATGCAGCAGCTGACTTTAGAACTTTTTCATTCTTAATTTTTTCAACATTTCAAATGCTGCATAATGTTGTCAATAAACATTAGTTCCTTTAAAACTAAAAGCCACATTGGAAATATAATATAACATTACAACCATTGAATAAACAAATAACAAGAGTAACAACGGTCCAATTTAGTTGCCCAGCATGTATTGAAATTTTTAAAAATACAAAAATATTACTTCTATGGACTAACCACAAGCTGAATATGTCCTCAACAAGACCTTACTGTAGAGGAAACCTGTGCTTTGCATGATTTGAAGGAAGGAAGTTGTTGTGAGGCTCAAACAAACAGCCATCAAACCAAGTGTAAACTGGTCACCACCACTGTTTTACAACCATTTCATTAGTAAATTTCCTTCCAAACTAATGAGATAAAGACATGATTGTGCAGCGGACCTTGTTTTAAGGATACTGTTGTAATTTCAGACACGTTGAATCCCCTCGTACATCCTACCACTCTGTTCTCTTTTGTACTATTAAGTTTCACCACTGACATTCTTCATTGTTTTGTCAGCTCTGAAGAAAGTTCCTGTTGCAGTTCTGCTCATGAAGCTGCTCCCCATCACCTGCATCCAGCTGCAAACCACACCAGATTTCCCAGGAGGGATATTCTGCTCAGTCAGGTCCTCGTTGGCATGGAAGATGATGAAGCACAAACTCAGGAAAAAAAAGCAATATTCAGGTCAGTTTGCAAAATTTAGAGCCTTTACTCCAGTGAGGGTTTGATACAGTAGTAGCTAGGAATGCTGCCTGAGCTTGTGACAACATTTTCCAGACCAATAATCTTTGAAAACAGACCAAGGAGCCACATATTGCACTGATTTAGCCATTTGACAAATAGCTTTGGAATGAGTCTTCATGTCCAGTCATTTGTAAGCGGTTGCCATATAAGTACTGGATAAAAGGAAACATGTTCGCTAATTTTAGAAAGAGGAAATGAGACCATGACAAGAGGCAAACTTATCACTTAGTGAAATGATTGTGGTGACTGCGGTGAGAGATGTCCTGTGGATGGTGTTTTCATTGTCAATGCTGACGTGTTCTCAATGCAGCACAGACCTCACAATTAATGGCTTATCGAGTTTTGTGTCGTTCGCTACATTTTTTACATTTTTCTCACAGTGCTCGAGCATATATTCTATTACTGGGAGGCACTGACCTTTTCGGTTTTATTTGTATCCTGTTTTTTTTATTTATTAAAATACTTGTTATGTTAAGTGGTTGTGGCCGCCTTTAGGGGGTCAGGCTTATTCATTTGAACTGTAACATTTTGGCTTTTGTCTTCATAGTGAGACCATTGTATTTTATGTGGATTTTTTTTTGGTTATCAGCCACTATCTAACCACATTAATACTCCCTTATTTATTCAGAGCCTGGATACTGACCTTTGTGAAGACAATGACGTAAAAAGAATAATCTCGCTCTGAATCACTTTGGTGTTTTTCCCCTATTTTCTATTCAGCATATTCATGCATGTGTAAGTAGTGGTGGAGTTACAGTGGACGAATTCAGGTTCAAAACTTGTCAGCTGGTTATAAGGTCATTTTACACTAGTGTATATTTAAAATTAAATAAAACTTTGCTGGGCCGTAGAACAACTTTGTTTACATTTAAATCAATGTGTGCTTCCTGTCTGTTACTAAAAGTTGTGAACAACTGTCATCAGAAATCTATAGGAAACAGATTACACAAGGCTTTCAAGTGACGACAGTGACGTTGCCAACATCGCCAGATGCCAACTGGACCTGTCTGTCAATCATGCTGTCATATATCTCCTCTAGATTGGACATAGATTATAGATTATATACAAAATGAAGGATGTGTTTTATTGGACAGAGCAAATGCAGGACAGCAAACTGTAAAAGTCTTTAGGGAAATGTTTATTGACTTTATAAATGGAGTGAGAAGTAGTCTAATTCCGAGTTACATTCACAGGGAGATACGTCCAAAACCAGCAGGGAAGTTCCAGTCTTTTCTGGGCTTTTCTGAGGGCAGGAGATAGCTATGTTTCATTTCTTACATACAGTACTGTCTCCTGGGATCACTGCCTATTGCAACACACATAAATATAGTAAATTCAAGCAGAGAAGAAAAGCTGATACATAGTTACTATTATAGACATCACTATATTTATATTTGTCTTTTGGCAGCGGACGACTCATCCATTCCACTACCAACCACTGCCTGCTCCGCTCCTTTTGTCGAAACTGGCCCAAAATGACTCTTAACTCAAGTGTTACAGTAGAGCTTCCAAACACTAACAGGGTCAGGGAAGTCAAGTGACTTGGAGAGACTTAGTGTCCTCTGAGTTTTGATAGTTTAAAAATGAAAAAAAAAAGTTGTGGAGCTTGCCATTAAACCGATAATGTTACTGAGAATAAAATGGAAGAACAATGGATTTTGAAGGAAAATAGAAAGTGTTTCGTAATAAAATTCTGATACAGCGTGTAGAGGAAAACCCCACGTCGAGACAGAATATTAAAAATGCATTGTTTGATTGCTGCAAACCTCTTCCCCTTCCAGAGGTCAATGAGTCTGCAGTAGTGCGTAAGAGTTTCCTTTGAAAAATGGACTCGTACGACAGTAATCCTCTGAGTCACTTCTAATTGGCAGCTCAACTTGTGTAGTGGTGTGTCTGTCTGTAGGTACAGTTCCTTGTTCTTGGATTTCCTTGTTATGCCTAAGTATCAAAATGTTTAACAGTGAACAGCAATGCAGATTTATTTTATTTTATTATAAGTGTGCTGCTGTTGTTACGTGCTTTCAACCGACCAACATTATTTTCAAGCGCTACCTCTAATCTGTTTCCTTTTATTATTTGTTTACAGATAAGATCTAGAAAATATCCTAACACAAAACCAATGCTAGACTGATAAGGTTTTCAATCAAATCCGACTAAAGTCACAGTGTTATAATATCTGTCTTTAACCTCTCCAAGCTCCGGTCACATTCAGGTGGAGCTTCTGTTTGACGCCACAGAGTCAGGATCCCAGCTCAGCACATCTTTTTTCTTTTTTTTTTTTGTCTGTGTGACCCACAAGCCCCCGACAATACGCCACTCTCTGTACTCTTACTTTTTTTTTTTTTTACTTTTATAGAGGCTTTTCCGGTATATCACTGTACACGCTGTGCCAAGAAAGATGGCAACTATCAAAGGAGAGCGAAGAGCACGAGGTGGAAAAGGGCAGAGAGATGTAAAAACAAACAGAGCAAGTGAGAGATAAGGCACCAGACAAAGAGATAGTGAGAACAGCAGAGTGAAAAATGCGTTATCGCCCGGTCACTTCATCACACACTCAGGTCAGAGGGGTGTGAGACATGAGTTGGCAGAGTTAGGAGCTGAGGCAAGTTTCAATATGTGTGGGGCCATAGGAAGTCCTGTGTGGAGAAGATAACGTTCTGTGACTGTGTGTATGTGTGTGTGTGTGCGTTTGTGTGCGCTTGCATTTGTGTGTGTGTGCAACGGGGGGCTAACAGTGTCCTCAGCCCTGCCCTGCTTTCCTCTATTCACTACCCAGCATCCTGTCTGTGTGCTGCTCCTTAATAGCTTTAATGAGCCACTGGTGAATCTCTCTCCTTCCTGCCTTTACACTACATGCCAGGCGAGAGAGGGAGTAAGAGGAAGAGAGAGTGAGAGGCTGAGATTAGTGGAGTATCCAACATACAAAGTAAACCAGCTGATATCATTACCACACCCCTATTAATGGATAAACACGGGTTGCTTGTACTTCTTTTTGGTGTGACCTTTCAACACAGATAAGACCAAACTGGCGATAGATGCATCAGATAAACTGTGAGCACTCGATTTCATTGCTCACTTATGTAGAAAGGAATGAAATGCTCCTTTACACCTCTCTCAGCATCACGCTTCCCTATTGAGCAGCACGAGATTTTTTTGCTGAGATCTGAGCGTGTCTTGTCATCGTGACAGATGACAGGTGAGGGAGTCTGAACCCCGGGACACTCTGTAATTGAGTTTAGAATGCTGGATTAGCAGAGCCTTTTGAAAAGGGCTGAGGTCAGCCCTCTATTCTGTCAGATGCATACTTTCAGAGAGTGAGGGAAGGGCCGACGTTGATTCCAGGAATGTTGCTGCATGTGAGGCAGGGTTAGAATGAGGGACACGGCTACAGTACAATGCTTCTAAGAGCAGATGTGTGGGGCCTTGAAGGGGCTGAGGAGGCTTGTATACAAAGAGGACCTGACCTAACAACACCTCACATTACTGTTGCTCGCTCTGTCATTGTCTCTTATACATTACGTTTGTTATATAACCAATGGGGCCACACGGGTAAATGATGTCAAAACTTGTGCCTTTATAACAAGATGATCGCTGGTACTTATCACTGGTTCGTGCTTCACAAATTGACTATATAGACTTGCGAATTGACCCTGTGATGACTGGCGAACTGGTGAAGGTGTAACTCCACCCTTGCCTGGGATGGGCTTCATCATTCCCATGACCCTGGTAATGATTAAGCAGTTGATAATAGATTAATTCTCATTCTATTAATTCTCATTAAAGGTCATCAAATTGTTGTGATATGTCACAAAAGATTAGGGTCACAGGCTCAACAAAACATTGCATTCACTGACCCCAAATATTATCGTTATTCTCACCATTTCATTTTTTTATTTTTAATGGGTTCCATTCTACACTCGATATGTTATATACTAGCCCCATGTAGAAGGCAAAAAAGGGGGCAATACCAAGTCCCTAAAAAGCCCCTACTAGCAATCATTAAAGTCTGCAAAATAAAAAAAAATCTTATTTTTCTGCCAATGTTCAGTCCCAGACATGACTAACAGACGGCCTGATAAAGAAGGAGGTGATTTGTCACTTTTACACAGTACATGTCCACTGTGCCAGATTCTAGAGGCTACAGTACAGTTTTTTTTTTTTTCTAAATCGTGGGATCCTACATCCAACCACAGTATCACGCTCTCATTCAGTGAAACTTCTAGAATGCCTTATACCAAAACACATGCTTGTAAAATTGCCCTTCATGGTTAAGGTTCATGATTTTTATAGTTTTGAATGGCTCAGTACTTTTGTCCATATAAAATGGAATACACTGTCGT